GACCAGGGAGTGCAGGGCAGGCTGTGTGTCCAGTGTGTATGCATGAGCGGTGGAATAAAGGAGAGACAATATGCAGGTCACATTATCGAGGTGTGACCAGAGTACACAGGCTATATGGAGACAAACCTTGGACTGCCACACACGACAACAAGACACCAAGCTGAAGCGCCACCTACCAGCCGGTTAAGGGGAGTGAGGAGTCAGCAGTCGGTATAAAACAGAGCAGTCAATAAAAATGTTTTTTTTAAAAACTGAATCATAAAAATATGAATTTGATGGGTCCAGTAGCATGGAGATTAGCTGCAGACAGTTACACAGATGGACACACTAGGCATGGGACACTGTCATTCACAATTGCGATTCATGATATTATCACAATAATGATCTTAGAATGCCACTACTACTGGTCCTGCTTGACTCCCACTGCTAATATTACTCATATTATTAGGGCCCGAGCACTGACCAGTGCAAGGACCTATTGTATTTCAAGGAATTGGCTATTACTATTATTTTTCTGCCCCTTTAATCGCATTTTTGGAGGCTCAAAAGTTCACGAAACTTTGCACAAAATTAATTTTGGCGCTGTAGTTTAACAAACTCCTCCTAGGGAAGTGATCGGATCAACTTTACATTTGACACTGCAATCTAAAGACATTCACGATTAAAAGTTCCTGGCGTGCCGTCAAAGTCGGCCATTTTGAACAAACTCCTCCTAGTGAATTGATCAGAACGAAACAAAATTGATGAGTACAATCCAGAGAGGTTCAGGGTGTTACGTTATTAAAATCTTTACATTCTGTCAAATGGTGTGTCCGTGGCGTGCCTTCAAAAATCTGCCTTGACATGACATTGGAAACCCTAACCCTACCTCTACTGCTAAACCTAAGTTTACTACAGATTCTCCATTTGCACCCAAACTTCACAAGTTTGTTCAGAGCCCTGGCCTAAACACATCTAAGTGCTAATCTTCATGTTGCAGTCTGCACACGTTACACTTGCACGTGATGCGGCCGCAAGCACACCCCGAGTTGCGAGGGCCCGATCATCACTGCTTGCAGTTTTAATTGTTATTATTACTACAGTTACTATTATCACTGCTCATTGTCCCCCATCGTTGCTGTTGTCGTCGTCATCATCTCTATGTTCATCATCATCAGTCACTACTATTAGTGTAGTTGTTGCTACTGTTCTCTCTCTCTCTCTCTCTCAGGTTTTAACCCTTTTAACAGGCAGTTTTTCCTTGCCCCCCGTCACCCAAGTGCTTGCTCATGTGGTACTGTTGCGTCTCTGCGTAAATGCTTATAAGCGACGTTGCCGCGTGCAGACCTCGCCTCTATTTAAATGTCCTGAGAGATACTTCTGTTATAACTTGCTCCTATACCGAATCAACAATTGGAACGTTGAACTCAATTGACTGGAACTCCGGCATTTCCACCGTTTCACTTTTGTTAATAAACAAGCATTTTTACGCCTCATCTCCCTGCCGTTCTTTAGTGTGGAATCCATAGTATTTGCACACATCCGATTTAACTTTTTTATGTGGGGATTTAATGAGCAAACCGAGTCTTCGGCCATGGTGACAGGCACAGGAAAGATGCAGACGCCCATTTGTGGCAATTCCAAAATTAGGGTTGCACCAATTTATTGGCCGGACATCGGCGTATCTGCAAATAAGATGGCATTCACCGATATCTGTAGTGTCACATCAATTTTGCGCTGGCTAAATGTGTTGATTATTTTTACCTTGCATATTGGAGAAATAATCACCTGTTTTCTAGCACTGCACTCAAATACTCATGTGCTCCACGCAGCAGCACAGACAGTGAGCGGCTGATCAGCTCCAAGTCTAACATCTTGGGTGAGAAGAGAAATAGAGTTGCAACAAGGTAGAGATGCTTATCTTTGTTTCGGTGTCAGCTAGGGCTGCACAATTAATTCAAATATTATTGAAATTGCAATACAGCAGAAACAAGTGCAATATCCAATCGGTTCTCCAGATGTAAAAAAACATGTTTGTTTGGTACGGACCCCAACAAATGTCACATTATCAATGAAATCAGTGAAAGTAAAAACTGTCTGACAAATTGAGAATCACACGGCAATCATAATATCTCTCAAAATAATCATGATCAGATTTTTGATCCTATTGTACAGCTCTAGTATGGGCACAGAGTCGCTGCATCCCCAGCAAAAATAAATTAGGAAACCAATATAGGACTTACAGTGTTAGCAAATATTAGATATACTTATCAGAGTGTTTTTATGTAATCGCAATATGCGATAATATTGTACATGATCTCTTCCCATCCCTACATTGACAGAATTTCTTCCTCCTGCTAAATGTAGATATTTTTTCCTCATTTATAAAGTATTTAAATTTGTGTACATTGTTTTACTGATGAGGTAAAAAACGAGAGCAGTAACTTTTCCTAAATGGCAAATTTTATCTCAAAGTGATCTGTTCAAAAATCCTCAATGCATTTATTTAGCCTCAATTATAAAATATTTAAAATGTGTATTGTTTTACTGATGATCAAGTTGTGATTTAGCAAACGTTTATCTCTTCAAAATGGCTGCTTTACCTGTTCAACAAAATATGAGGTGATGCAGAAATAGCAGTAAAAGTGGTCAGGAACGTTCATTTGTGTACAAATTGAAATTTGCTCTCCTCACTGTGAATGGGTCGCCATGGTTTGTCATTTCAAAAGTTTGGGAAACACTGCTATAGGACACACAGCCACACACACGCTCCCCTCTGGGCTTCCACCTGGCAGAGACAATGAAGAGAAACACACTTCCACTGCAGCCTGAGCGCGCTGAAGAACTGCATGCAGTCTCAGGTTGACACAGCCAATAATGGCTCATTTCCCTCAAACTGACTGATGGCTCTCATAATGTAACTCTCACACAGGAATAACTACTGTATTGTAATGTATTTATGGACTCCATGGCAACAGTAATGTCCTAATTAGTACAAAGAGGTGAGATATGTTATCTGTTTCCATTAACAAGCCTCTGTCTGTTGTTGGGTTAGAGGTGGCATCAGGCTGTGGCACTGTATAACACTCTCCACTCTTCAGTATGAGTGATCCTGTAGAGTCGCTCTAAACTGATCACGCAGAGTAAATAATTACCCTTTAGGCATGCAGAGGTTTGCACATGTTTTCCAGCATGATGACTGGTCAGTGGGTTTTATACATGAATTAATATCAGGACTGAAAAGAGAGCCAATCAGTTGACCAGACATTTTATGCGGCAATGATAATGTCGTTTTTCATCTAAAATGCCAAACATTCCCTGGTTCCAGTTATTCAAATGTGAGGGTTTGCTGGGATTCTTGGTTTATTTATCTGTGCACACTCATTTTCACTATTTTATACACACAGTACAAAATTATTTCACATTTTTTCAAAGGCTTGACTCTCGTCAGCCATCACAGTTTTGTGTCCCTGACCTTCAGGCAGGGGTTTAGGCAATATTTGGTGGCACTTCACAACCTCATTTATTAGAGAACTTTGTTAAATGAAACTACTTAATTGGGCCAGTCGTTTGATCCAGAAAACGATTACCCTGTCCTTCTTTTGTATACATACACTAATTAAATCATGGATCCCCCACCAAACACACACTCCTCATCTGAGGTATAATTAACAAATAACCTCAGCTCACACAAGGCAGGGGGAAGGCTACTGAGTAAGCATGACCGAAGGCAGCGGAGACACCAGAGAGAAATGGTCAGACTGGGGCAGATCCAGTTCCCCTCTCTTGAGAAAGACACGCTGTTTCATTAGAACAGCTCCCTTTTTAATTAACACCAAGGGCCCGGGCTCCTGCGGCAGGCGTGTTCTCTTGCAGAAGCCTACTACAGTTGCAGTCACATTATAAAGATGCCTTTCAGTGCTGCGGTCCCACGCATACTCAAAGTTACTCACAGCTTCAAAAGTAACAAGGGAAGTGATACAAGGTCGCAAACCTGCAGTGGTAGTTTGGTAAAATGAGGAGAGTAGGAACACACTATTTATTTTCATTATCGAGCCATTGTTTAGTCCATCAGTGTCAGAAAATGATGAAGCTGACGTCCTCAGGACTAAAGAAAGCAGAAAATATTCACATTTGAGAAGCTGAAATCAGAGAATCTGCACTTTTGTTTTCTTAACAACTAATCAATTATTTAAGAAATGGCGATTAATTTAATAGGTGATCACTGATGGATTAATCGACTAAATAGTTACAGCTCTACTTATTTCACTACATTTTTTTGCATTTTTAAGCGTTTACTATTTACTAACTCGTTAGCCAATAGTACAAATGTGTCGTAATAGTCTATTATTATTATTATTATTATTATTATTGTTCTGATAACATAGTGCGGTCACTTCCCGTGGTTTAGCTAGCGGTGTGAAGTGGAAATGTGTGATTTTGTGCTTTAATAAAATATGTCAGACTGACGGTAATGGCATGTAGGGCTCACCTTACTGCTGTGGAAGTGCGTACCGACAGTCCTCTCGCCTTCAGCTGGAGCACAGGACCGAGCCAGGTGTAGCAGAAACAACCGGAAACTTTTCCGCTGCTGTACTCTCCACGCGCCGGTGTGCTGTCTCGTGCGGTGAAAACCCCGAGCAGTGTTAGGAAACTCCTCCGATCTTTTCCCAGTTACGAAGCTTTCTGGCTGTGGACGGACATCAACAGCTCACTGACAGCCGCTCACCAAACCCTGTAGGTCTCCTGTCTTTGTTCCTGTACAGAGCCGAGCTCCCGCGGGCACAGAACAGACGCTCCCTCAGTCATTTAAACGCACTTATAACTCACTCCTTCTCTGACGTACAGGGGGCGTGGCCCCGCAGCACAACACTTCAGAGTGTCCAAAGTAAGTCACAATTGACCTTTTTCACAGCAGCCATTTTTTTTCAGGAGTATAAAAAAACCAGCACTGAGTATCTTTATATCACCAGAAAAACAAAACAACAACAAACAAAACAATTAAATATGTATACTTAAGTAGAGTATACTATTGATGTGTCCTTGAATGCTCTTTCCTACCAATATAGTACAACCAAAGTTTTCACAGCAGCCATACTGATTGAACAGTAGGGTAAACATGATATTCATGTCAAAATGGCCACTGTGAAAAAGGTCCATTGTAAAAAACACTTTCATTCATCACTGGTGTTGGAAGAAGTGTTTAGATGCTTTAGGTAAAAGTAGCAGTACTACAGTTCTACTTGAAATACTTGAAATAAGTATTACAGCTGTAGGCTACTTAAAATATGAAAAGTAAATGGCCCCTTTGTCTTATCTGCACAAAACAGCCCAATAATTTGTACACACATTTATCTTGTGCAGCAAGATAAAAAACAATAATTTCTTTTGGGACTTCAAGGGCTCACCTGTTAGTTTTGTTGAGGGAAGTTACAGCTTTATCACTCTTTGGAGTACATGGTGACTATTTATAAATAAAAATTAATGTACCTGAATTGTACCTAAAGATCCCCTCCAAACATTACGACATAATACAAATAGTCTGCTTGGAACAATAATCTGCGTCTGATATGTTATTTCCACAAAAAAAGTATCATTTTCACATTAAAATCCTTAAAAATTTAAAAAGATACACTGGTGTTTCAAAGTTACATAAAGTTGCATAAACGGTCCTGAATTCAACTTCAAGTCTAAATAGGAATCAAAAGATACTCTTGTACATCATTTAAGGATACACTGGTGTTTTAAAGACTTCATTGATCTAACTAGCTGGGTAATTTACATCAATTGTTAGTTTGTTAGGTAACTAGCTTGCTAATCTGAATCAATCATTAGCTTGTTACATCTGAAAGATAATGTTAACAAAACACTAGCGAACTTCTTCTAGCTCATTAAAACTTCCAGAATCTCTGAATATGCAAATGTTGTTGATTTCTAAAGTTTTC